TTTTCCTGTGAAATGTTCTGCTTCCTATTTTTGGCAGATGTCGTAAGACATTATTCCTCACCACCATCAGTAACTTCTTCATGCATTGCTTTGGTGTGCTGAGAAGCAAATCCCATCTATTTTTTGTACTAGTGCATCCTTCATTGAAGAGCCAAATGATGTCAATTAGGTGGCATTAGCACTCAGTGCAAAGATGACCTTCATCTATCACCCCAGGCTGATGGTTCTGTGAAGGGTTTGACATACAGCGTCTCTCAGAGGGAGCTTCTAGCTGTAGTACATTTCTAGATGTGCATTTAAAGACTTTTCTATCCTATCCTGCATTTCAGGTATCTTCTGGGTGAGCTGTGAAGCAGGCACATATATCCGAACGCTCTGTGTTCACCTTGGTTTACTGCTTGGTGTGGGGGGCCAGATGCAGGAGCTCCGCAGAGTGCGCTCAGGCATCCTGGGAGAGAAGGTAGAGTGTTAGCTTTAACTATAACCAGAAAATTGGATGTTGTCAGAATTGCAAGAGTTCCTTGGAACTGTGTGAGTTTTACAGTGTTGGGAGACGGTATAGGTGCATGGTGGCTGGCAGGAGTTCTGTGAATAGCCCCAAAAACGTGGGAGCTCTTGCCATAGACAGTCTGTAACCAAAGTGTTGAGTTCAGTTCAGGGTGTTGCCCCTGTTCTGGTAATTAAGCTTTGGGATAGTAAGTGACTGGGAAGTGCACCATGGTGACTGAAAGTTTGGTTTAAGCCACCTGTGTTTCTCAGCCTACAAACCATGCATGTGCCACAAGTTAAGGGGTGTGAGCTGTCTGCTTAGCAATCTGTGACCGCTTGGTGTCAGGGCACGATGCAGGGAACACACTTCATTGAAATGAGCCTGGTAGATGCAGTCTTGTATGGTCTTGAATACTTGTACAGTCTTTCCAGTCCCATCGTAGCTGGATCGGCTGCTGGTCCAAACTCCGGAACTAATTTCTTTCCTTGCCAGGCAGGAGTATCAGAGTGCAAGTGCTTCCCCACCCATGTATGGTCTTCCTACAGCTGTAATGACTGGCAGTCATTTCTGAATTCCAGGTGTTGGGTGCTTCGAGCTGCTTCAAGAATTTATTCCATGTCACAGATTGAAGAGCTGGTTAATTTAGACTTCTGCTCACTAATCTTTGTCTAGAAGTTCCAGGTATTTGCTTTAAGTTTGGTCATATTTCCAAGTTTCATGTGGACAGAGCTTATACAATAGATCCAAGTGCTGTCTGAGATTAGGAAGGTTGAAGTCTGTAGCAGCACAAGTCAGGCTGATGTCAGGCTGTTGATGGAAAGTATTCTTTTAGGTTGCTTTTTTGATGCTTCTGGGTTGGGCATCTGTTTTTCACTCCCTTTTAGGACACTACTTGCAGTTGGACTTTAGTTGTTTTCTTGTGTGTGTTTTGAGTTGGTGGCTTGTAGGAGAGTTTTGAGGGGTTGTGTCGTTGCAGGACAACATGGTGACTATGCACGATGTACTGGATGCACAGTGGCAGTATGACAACAACAAGGATGACAGCTACCTGCGAAGAGTTATCCTGCCGTTGGAGAAACTGCTGACCTCGCACAAGCGGCTAGTCATGAAAGACAGTGCGGTGAGTGCCTGAGATTGTAGTCTCTGGCTGTCAACTGGCACTAAGTGTCCTCCTAACTTGTGCAGCTAATGCAATAAATGGGGGATCAGGATCCACATGGTGTCTAGCGCTGTTCTGACTGTGAGCTGTGTTCCTTGTTTTTTATTCTCTAATAGCTTATAAGTTCTCCTGTTCTCTACATTTGCAGGTTAATGCCATTTGCTATGGAGCCAAGATCATGCTGCCTGGTGTCCTGAGATATGAAGATGGTATTGAGCTTAATCAGGAGATTGTTGTGATCACCACGAAAGGAGAAGCTATCTGTCTAGGTATGAAACTCCTTGTTCTTCTTACACCTAACTAACTGCAAAAAGAACACTGTTCCAGTGAATGCACAACAAATGAGTCCCCATGTGCAGAAGGTTTAGTGCTTCCTGATGGGGACTGTGGGTTAGTGTGGCCCAAGGCAGCTGGTGTTGGGCAGGATGTTAAGAAACAGCAGCTGCATTGGTCCTTAGCAAGGTGTGAAGAGTTTCTCAGCCTGGTTTCAGCTGTGTGTGATGCTAAGGTGCGCTCTGTGTGTGAAGTGATGACAAAGTTTATCCA